GAGGGTCAGGCTAGATGATCTGTTCAGGTCCCTCCTGACCCTAGCTACTAGGAAACTATGAAACTTTCACATATCTTAAATTAAAACTATTTTTAGATAGGTTTGTTTTTTTGGGTTTTTTTTTAAAAGCATCTTTAACAACCCTCCCCCCAAAATACAATTACATTAAAAAAAATGTGATTGTAAGTATTTATGTTTTTTAAACTGTTGATTTTTATCCACCCTGGCTGTTAGTGTGCAATCAGTGTGTTTTCAAGAAGCCACATATAAAGTCAAATATCTTTCGGTAACCTATTCCTAATTGGTCTGAAGACTGCTCTAGCAACCTATGACTGACAAAATCTGAGGAGGATTCGCAGGAGATAACAACTGTGAGCTCCCAGTGAGATGATGTGGTTGCAGAACTTAATGCAGCCATTGCTGTATAAATAGGGATATTGAATAATACCTCTATAGCTGACACTACTGCTGGGGTCCTCCATCCTGCTCTTGCGCCCACACCTCAAGATGTTGAAAAATTGGAGAGGAAGACTGTTCAAAAGATTAACTGCAAAACCTTTTTTCTAGTAAGAGGCTGGAGGAGCTCAATCTAGTCATCTTATCAAAGTGAAGGACAGGAGGCAATTTGGTAAGTACCTACATGAGAAACAAATTTGATAAGAGGGCTCCTCTGGCTATCAGACAGAGGTATAATAAGATTCAGTGGCTGGAAACTGAAATGAGAAAGATCAGAAATGAGGCACAAATAAGGTTCATTAACCACTTACTAAAGGTTGGGATGGCTTCCGTATCACCGGAAAAATTTAAATTAAAACTGAAAGCTTTTCTAAAAAATACGTTGTTTCAAGCTACTGGGCTGAAGACAGGAACTGCTTTTGGAAAATCCCATGACCCACGTTATACATAAAGTGAGACCAAATTATCAAAATGATCTTTTCTCACTTTAAATCTATGAATCTCTTACTACACACTATTCAAACCCTGTCTGGAAAAAGACTCTGCAACCTCCCGAAGGAGTTTGCTCTGATAAGTGTCCTGCCTTACCTTCTGCTCGATTATACCGAGTTCCTAACAAACATTATTGATTTCACAACTGTCTTTGCACATCCCTTAATCAGAGGTCACCCATACCCAGCCCAATTTTAAACATCTGCTCTAAAGCCTGGTGAAACTACACTCAAAAAGTCACTAGAATTTTTTATGTGGGCAAAATGATATATATCCCCCCCACATTTGTTCTCTAAAGCAGCTGAAATATTTTACCAGAAACTTTCTAAAAAATGTCAGCATGAAGCAGACAATGACATGGAACATTTCAGCCTCTGCAGCTGAAGTCAGGCAAACTTAAAGCCACTATAGGATCTTAAACTGGAAAGTGTCAGACAACTTTTTTTAAAGGGGTTGTTATAACAGCTCTGTGTATAACAATTAAAATTTGGTTTTTATTGGCAGTTTCCCAAACTACTAGTCAGGGTACTTCAACACGCAAAACATATCTATATATAAACCCAAATCCACGGAATAAACAGAATCCACAATGTTAATTAATTTTATATTAAAACACAGTAGCATAGAAATAATGTTAATACAGTATGTAGGAGACTAAGAAACAGCAGTTAACTAATGGAGGCTATTCAAGTTAAAATATGCATTTTTTTTTTATCAAATAGGACCTAATTTTTGTGGATCAGTATTAAATGAAGTCATTGCAAAGCTGGTTTCACACACTAAAGCAAAGGCAGAAAAGTAAAAAAAAAAAAAAAAAAAGTAATGTAGTTCAGAATATCTTGCTGAAGTATGAACACCTCATTTAATAAGACGGTTTTGCATGTATTTTACAGAAAGTGTGTCCTTACCCTAAGAGATACTTCCTAAGCACTGGTTTTAAATAGGCCAATTACTACATTTAAAGATGAAATACAAAACGAAAATTAAAATTGAGTTAAGCTTAGAAATATGTACTGAATGCTCTTACTAACCAGGCTGTTTAGATGTGTGGGAGGAAAGCATTCCAGAAATAAGTATTAACTAACTTGTTCAAAAAGACTGCTCTCTCTCTGGCCCTTCTTCGCTAACTACGGAATTCATAATGCAATCAGTGAAAATCTGACACTCCTGGGACGTCTACTGGAATACTTCTAAAGTCGATCTGCCTGCTGGCTACTGGACGCGTGCAATTCCTAGCCTTAGTTTTCATTAGCCATTTACAGCTGGTTCTTTAGAATATTTAAATCAAGTTTTCTGATAAATGACACATTGATTTGTCAAAAATAAATGCACAGACAACATTTCATATAGAAATCTGCTAGATGCACTCCCAAAATGCCAATCATATATTGTGATTTTTCAGCTCAAGAACACACTTGGCATGGTGGAAAATATAACTAATTATTTAAATACAATACAATAACAATGAAGACTGCCAGACAGTTTCCAGGGGACACTCCCATTCTTTCTCTCTTTCCTCCCGTCTCCAAAAGATCCATTGTCAATATTCCTGCCAGGTGCAACTGCCTCTTAAGCTATTCAACATTTATGGACTTGATTATGTATGTGCTAGCTAAAAGATGAGAACATACTTCCAATACGGAAGGCATCAAGGATTTAAGGACCTCCTTCAAACCAGGTCCATACAGTTTTGCCTGGAACAACAACGCTAAACCTGGATACCTAAATCATTTTAAAAGTATATTTTGACTTGACTCCTTTACTAGTCTAAAGCCATTGTTTTTTCTTGTAACAGAATTATCATCTTCTCCTCTAGTATCTCCTTAAGGTCAATTAACAACGATATACTGAACTCAGAGAAGTCCTTTACTAACCAGTTGTCCCCACTTTCTACCCTTTGTTTGACTTATATGTAAGGGTTTTGGAATGTGTGCATGCAAATACTCAGTGCATATTATCAAGATTCGTTAAAGGGCCATTCTAGGTCAAAATAGTCTCATCTGACTGACTGGTGAGATCATTTATTAAAGATACTGTACGGCTCTTTCAAACCCTGAACTCCCAAACATCACCAGCTGGTGAAATAGCACATCTCAGGAATCTCAGTTTATATTTAACGGGATCTTAGTTCAAACCAGATTTGCAAATTATTTAACCATTAGAAAATCAGACACAGAACAAAGGACATCAAGCTTTTGTATTAGCGGCAGACTTTAATATTAAAAAGAATAAAGACTATTAATACAAGCAGAAAGCTGCCAAAGCTTTATAGAATCTGCTGAGAATAGAGAACACTGATGGTTTGGTCTTTCATAATTCATACAAAGAACAATTTCCGCACACAGGCCAATATGTAACACATTTGTATAAAAGATTTAGAATGAGAATATTGGACAAAAAGCTTGGAAATTCAAAGTTAAGAACGGTACCCTATTTAACTCGCCACATAACATGTTGAGAAAGCATATCACTAACAAGATCCAAGTTCTACAAGGATCAAGCTCAATGGTTTTTACCTGTGTTTCATTATTTTATGACTGAAGCAATCCTGAGAATGCATTCATAGTCACTGCAAAACAGTATATAATCTTGGATGACTTCAGCGGAGTTTACTTGCAATGCACAGAAGTCAATCGATTAGGTGTGACCAGTACACGTTTCCTTTTCACAAGGGCTCCAATATACATTTTTTGACTTTTCTTTCCTTCCCTCAGCACTTTCTCTCCCTGTTCCCATCCACCACTTCACACAACCAATGAAGACATGACTAGACTCACCTGATCCTGGAGTGATTAACGGTCCCTCCAGTTCGAGTGCTTCATCTTCACACTGATCATCTAGCTTTTTCTTTTTTTTCTTTGTTGGATCTCTGGGTTTCCTCAAAAGAGAGAGTTCCTCTGGGTGTCTGATGTCTAGGGAGAAAAATCAAAACCATTTTTTAAAACGGAAAAACAAATGGCATGTAACCTAAAAACAGCCTGTGTACTGGAGGAGTGGAGGGCAGTTAACATAGCACCAATCTTTAAAAAGGGGATTACAAGAAGGGATCTAGGGAACTACAGATCAGTGAGAGCCTAACTTCTGTTCCTGGCTAACTGGTAGAACCCATAATAAAAAATCAGGGTGGTCTATAACCATGTTGCTCAACCCCATGGGCCAGAGCTAGATAGAGTCATAGATTGTAAGGCTGGAAGGGACCTTGGAAGATGATCAGGTCCATCATCTAGCATGGGGTCCTCTGGAAGCCACAGCAATAAATGCTGCAACTGCTCCCCCACTGACAAATGCAGACCCATGAGAAGCTCCACAAACCACATTCTGCCAGATGCTGAGCACCACTGGTCTATAACATGGGTGAACAGGCCTTGTAGGGAAGAGTCAGCTTGCCTTTTGTAAACGGAGGTCATGCCTCACCAACCCACTAGAGTCCTTTGTGAGTATCAACAAGCATGTGGATCAGGGCCATCTGGTTACTACAATGTACCTTGACTTTCAAAAAGCTTTGGACAAAGTCCTGTACCAAAGGCTGAGGATGAAATCGGGCCATCGTGGAATTAGGGGCAAGGTCTGCTCATGGATCAGCAATTGGCTGAAGGATAAAAAAGGTCGTTATGTCACTGCATAAATCCCTGGTACATTCACACCTTGAATTGTGTGTGCAGTTCTGGTGCCCCCCACATCAAAGGATACAATAGATCTAGAAGAGGTATAGAGAAGGGTGATAAGGATGATCATATGGGCTTGAAGCGGCTTCTGTACATGGCAAGTCTAAATAGACCAGGACTTTTTAGCTTAGGGAAAAGACGACAGGGATGGGGATATGACGGTGGCCTATAAAATAATGAATGGTGCACAGAAAGTAGAGAGAGATTACCATTTACCAACTCCCATAACATATCAGAACTAGGAGACATACAAGGAAGTCATTAGGAAACAGGTTAAAAAGCTAATGAAATCGAGTTTTAATTTTTTTTTTTTTTTTTTTATACATATACACACACCGTGCGATTAACTTATGGAACTCACTGCCACAAGATGACAATTTAACCAGGTTCAAAATTCAGGCAGGACAGGTTAATGAGTGGGTATTAAACAAGATAGTAGAGCTCCAGCCTCCAAATTAGGACTCAATAGGCCTCAGCGCTGGAAGCTGTAAAGGAGAGTTATAGCAAGGATAGTTGTGAAGAGAGCCGAGACTGATGACAAATAAGTTGCAGCTGCTGTTACAGAGTAAAAGGAGCCAACGAAGGAATGCAAAGAGAAGGGGTGCCATGGTTAAAGGTGATGGATTATAGGTAATGCTTCTTGGCATGGAATTTTCATAATTTTAGCCATTTTCTGGCTGAGAACAAATTTTTGATCGGCAACATTTCCCTAAGATAAATCCATTTCTGATTTTTCTGCTGGTCGCTGACAGGCTGAAGATGAATTTGGTGCGAGCAGGTCAAGAGTAGTCTTCTGGGATGAACTCTCATTACTTGGGCTAACTGATTTATACAAGCGACCACATCTTTCAGGTCCATAGTGCATCAGACTGAAACATTTTGAGTACTTATAACTAAAACTGCTTGATGTGACAAAACAGATTGATATTATTTTCAAAGAATATTTTAATCTGGACTGCTTTAATTTTTAATAAGCATTGAAATCTGTATTTAGGCACTCAATAAATGTCAGCTTGTTCACTTCAATGTGAACAATGAGCAATTGGCAGTTTTGAAAAGAAAGTCAAGTCACTTATTTAGGTACCAGACTATGGATTTTAGGAGCCTGGCATTCAGCCACCTCTTCTTGAAAATTGTTATTTTCAAGGTAATTGTTTCTATTTGCTCTTGGAAAATTTTTATGTTCTTTAAATATTAATGACAGATACATGATGCACATTTTTCATACACATTATTATACCTCATTATAATCATGCAATTTAGGAAAAATCTATCAGAGTTTATGCCTGTAGGGCATCCTTGGCCACAGGAGCAGCCAGGACACCCTTTGGTAGCCATGCGGCCGCTCCCCAGCTGCAGCCATACCCTTGAATCTCGCCTGCTACACCTTGCTCTTAATGAAGGTTATAAAAGGGAGACTGCCTGAGTGAGCCTGAGCCTGTGTCAGTCCCCACTTGGCCTCTCCTGGGTCCCCTCAGTCACAGTCTTGAGCCTCCAGGTTAGCAGGCCCTCTCAGCCTGTCTGTACCCCGCTGGGCACCTGTCTCCTCGAGGGCTCCTTGCCTCCCCTACACCATGCCGCGAGCCTTGCAGGTGTTTCCCGACACACCCTTTCCTGGGCTCCTGGCCCTGCACATCGCCCCTTCCCTGGACACATGGGCCCTCTGTGGGTTCAAAATAAAAGGCCACTTGCCTGCAAATCTCTGCCTTCCTCTGCCCAGGTAACCTTCCTCTGTTCCCGGGCCTGCAGTGTTGGTTATATAAACTCCAGTCCCTTCAGGAGCCCTACTTCCAGAAGCTCCTCATTTTGTGGCTGCTGGGGGGAGACTGCCTGACCAGCTTAGGCTCCAGGGTTATAAAGCTCCAGCCTGAGCCCTCTTCCAATCAGGTGAGTCTCTCATTAGCCCCCTGTGCCACCGGCAAGCAGCCTCGCAGGCTGCTAGCTCCCCTTGAAGGAGCAGACACATACCAGTGCCCTGCTACAATACCACTGTCTTCACTGTGCAAAAAAAGGAGTAACAAAACCACATTTTTAAAGAAATCAAAGTTTTTGTCACAGAAATTATGGCTGTGAAAGATATAGCTATACACGTATAATTTTATTTACTATTTTTTAATTTGTTCCGAGACAAAAGAGGTGTTTTGGGACATTCTACTTGCTTCAGAACAGCTTGCTGGAGAGAGACAAACATGAAACTCTCTCTACAAAGTGCTAATATATAAAGACAGCTTGTTTTGACAAAAAGTAAGAACATACAACCCTAGGGAAAGACTTCAGGTAGCGGTGTCAGGCAAGCCTGTACCAGAGCTGAGGATTTACAGATCAACTACTAAAGTACAAACAAAAATGTGCTCCTTCATCAGTAAGAGTGACCAGGGTCCAGAAAGGTTTTTCTCAGAGGAGAGAAAATGATCTAATTTGACAAGTATTTTTTAAAAATACATGCTATTTGATTTAAATGGATAGCATCAATTGGTATTATTGGAGGTGAAAAATACTCAAATTTCATTTTTCTGATATTAAAAAGGATGTATGATATGACCTAAATTAAAAAGAAACCCTTAAAATATGCAGCAGTTTTCCTTTTTTGCTGATATTTATATAAATCTTTTTCACCTATTTTTCCCCCTTGGCCAACTGAAGATATGAATGAGATGTATCAATAGTCAGAATACTAGTTTTAGCCAGCCTGTCAGTCATCTACTCACAACTGGGCAGGGTTAAGAGACATGTTAATTAAGAAATGGCAACCAGCCTGTATTTGCACTACCAGCAATGGACCTGCAATACTGGGGAATTGTAGAAATAGCAATAATACCAGCATAGCCAGAAGAAGTGTTGAACCCAAAGCAACCAACAACAAAACCATACACATTACATAATACATACATTTCAGACCAGAAACAGCAATACACTGGAGGATACTGGTGCTTCCGTATGCTCATGTCTGTCCATACTCAGCTCCAACTGGGAAAATGGCTTTATAACGAAATTTGTATTTGCTAGAGCTTGGATTAAACTGTAAACAGGCTGGTTGCAATCCAGGTTCCCTTTCTGACACTGAAAAAACAAAACTCTGTCTAATACTGTACAAGTTATATGGTATTGATATTTAAGAACCTGACCTGGAAAATCATTTACCCGGGCAAGAATCCATTTTACTGTGATGATGAAAGCCCACAAATCCTGATCTAGGAGCTCTAAAATATGACTTGTATTAAAAAAAGAATATTATCAACTGCACTTAGAAATCTGGAAACTAGAGTTTCAGGGCACTCTCTTGCAGCTAGTTACTTGTGTTTTTGACTCCTTTTGTTTTTAACTCGTGTCGGCATATTCCATGCGACAATGGCTAGTTATACGGAGACAGCACTATGGAAGATTTGGTCGATAAAGAGTAAGGAAAGCAAAATACACTTTCTACCACCGCCTGCTCTCTTCACGAGCAGGTCTTGTAGTCTGTAGGTTTTAAAATACCTAAGGAGGTACCTAGTAGGGTTTCACTGTTTTCAACCTATTCATTAATCCACCTCAATTTGGGCAGCTCACGAGTGTTAACTGAAAGCTCATCCTTCAACAGCTTCAAAGCCAAGTAGAATAAAGCTACTGATGATGCTCTTCAGAGAAATCCCACAGCCCACTGCCTGACACCTGCTTTTCCATTATGGCACTGACAGCAAGCTACTGGCCTGTGAACATAGGCCTCTATGACTTCCAGGTGAACATGGCTACGTACAGACAATCAGAAAGCCCGCAACTGAATCAGTTCAACCATCACAGCTTAGTTTAAGCTACATAGGTTGAACCGATAAGCAAGTGAACAGACGTTCACTTTTGATTCTGGAAATGCAGCGTGGCTCAGGCCAGAAGCCGGGGGGCGCTAGAGCACGCCTCCCTGCTGGGCTGGAGTAGACAACTTGGGCCAAGGCTAGCCTGCCCATTTTGTGAGTGAGGATTTGTGGGGGAGGTGCAAAGCACCCTGGGATGCTGGAGGACTGAGAGTTAACTTGAAACTGGAGGGGATCTGGGACAGAAGTTTAATAAACCAATTTCATCTAAATCCGTTCAGTCTGATATTACATCCACTCAGGTGGATCTGAAGCCGGTTTTGGCCATTTCAAAAGCAGTTTATATGCACTGAACTTCTGTGGTGTTACAGATATGAACTGGTTTCTGATCACTAATACCAGTTCACGTATAATTTCTGTCCCTAGCCCTATGGTTTTGCTGGACTTCTTTTTGTCCCT